TGGGTGGCAGGGGATGCCAGTGCCCAAGCTGGCCACGCACTGCTGTTTTCCAGGGTGCACGCTACAGGAAGCTGGCTGCTACAGCATTCCAATATGGAACTCCCAGTGTCTCACGCAGTTTCTTTTTTTGGATAAAATACACTTTTATTTATAGTCTTGTGGTAAAGGGGGAAACCTTGCTAGGCAGTTTGTACCATATACTTTTTTCCCCCCATGGACTGGAATCAAACACAGACTGAGACCACCGAGTTTACACTGGAGGTCGGCAGTGGACGGGAACAGAGTACGCACAGGACAAAGCTGTGAGAGCTTCACATACAGAACCCTTCCCTGGGGTTTGCTTGACTGCAGCCAGAACCAGGGCTGGGTAACACAGCGGACCTAAGGTCCAGGCCTGGAGGGAAGGGTGTGTGACATGGGGCGGGGCTGGGTGAGCACCCGGGGACAGGCAGAGCCGCAGGTCCAGTGTGCTCAGTATTTACAAAGAGCCCTGGATCTTAGGAATACACGCACAGGGAAAGCAAGATGGAACTTTCCTTGATGCATCTCAAGGAAATAGGGAAGGGATGGCTCGTGGAGATTCAAACTTCAGTAGTAGGGAAAAAATACCAACACATAATTGGGACAAAACCTGGACCCCAGCCAAGCTTCCATCCCAGTTCCACCCCCAAAATGACTACCCCCTACAACTAGCCAGCGGTGGCAGTGGCAGCCTACCCATTGTGAGAGTATTCTGCAGTTCTCCCGAAAGCTGGCATCGCAGGCACCCACAGCTGCCCGAGAGAGGCAGGTGTGAGCCATGCCCCAGGACCCCACTGCAGAACTGTACCCAGTTGGGTATGTCACAGACTGCTTCAAGGAGCCTGCTTTTTCAATGGAAGCAGTAAATACATTTTTAGGGGGAAAAAAAATGCTTGCAAAGGAGCAATACAATTCTGATGGTCCCACCTTGGTCGTATTTTTTTTCTTCTTCTTAAATATTTATTTATTTTTATTTGATAGGCAGATATAGGGCCCTGCACAGTAGCCTAGCCACTAAAGTCCTCGGCGTTGAACATACTGGGATCTCATATGGGTGCCGTTTCTAATCCCAGACATCCCTGCTTCCCATCCAGCTCCTTGCTGGTGGCCTGGGAAAGCAGACAGGACAGCACAAGGCCTTGGGACCCTGCACCCACATGGGAGACCCAGAAGAAGCTCCTGGCTCATAGCATCGGACTGGCTCAACTGCAGCCACTTGGGGAGTGAATCAGCAGACAGATCTCCCTCTCTGTTTTTCCTCTTCTATGTATCTGACTTTACAATAAAAATAAATAACTCTTAAAAAAAAAAAAAGGAAGGCAGGTTGTAGGAGGACCGTTGATTGGATATCATTTGAATGAGAACAACTGACTGTATCTAAAGCAAGGGAGGTGCTTCCTCCCCTTTCCCCCCTCCCTTTTACCTACAGGACCCTCAGTCAGTAGTCTGCACATGGTTTTATCAGCTCCATGCACCAAGTCCATTGCTGCCAGACAATGAACAGAGGAGAGACACAGAGAGAGATCTTCCATTGCTGGTTCACTCCAAATGGCCACAGTGGCCAGAGCTGAGCTGGTAAGAAGCCAGGAGCTTCTTCCACATCTCCCACATGAGTGTAGGTTAGCCATGTATTTGAACCATTTTCTGCTGCTACCCCAACTGGAATTCGAACTAGCAACCCCTATGGGATGACGGCGCTACAGGAAGGGTCTTAGCATGCTACACCCATTTGGTTATTTTGATGTAAAGCAATTCACAGAGTTACAAAGTCTGCACGGTGGCCGACCGTCATGGCACCGGCGCACTGCGTTCTGGTTTTTCCACATCCTCACCAGCAGGTCTTAACTACCTGTTTTGGATGGTGGCTGTCCGAGTGGGCGTGGCTGGCACGTATGCACTTGCGCGTTGATTATCAGGACCCCTCAGAGAGGGCCGATCTTCCTTCCTCTGCAGTTTGAACTTGGACCCCTGGGAAGCCTTTTCCGGGGGTCCCCGCCCTTCCAATGGTCTCTTTGAGTGAAGCTGTTCACATTGACCTTTTCCCAGCTCTGTCCTTTCTCTTTTTGATTGGAGGCTTAGAAAGCTCCCAGGCCCAGAGGTCAAATCGACCTTCTCCAAGTTGAACCTATCTTTAAAAGACTTCCTTTTTTAATATTTGCATCAGATGCGCTGGCATTTGATTGCACTTTAAAAGCTCTTTGAAAATGTTGCTTCTCCCTGGGTGGTTCAGAATATTTTTCTTCTTCTTTCCTTGGTTGCCTTTGTGAGTGTCAGATGTTACCGACGCCAACATTTTTTGGAGTTTAAAACAACAACAACAAAAATCCCCCGTGGACTTCTGTGGGAGGTGGAGCCAAAGAAAGAGCTCTCCCTTCTGAAGGGTTACTTCCTAAATGGCCTTGGGGGGGGCAGGAAGGGGGGGAGGAGGGCATGGAGCCAGAGCTGGAGCCCTGGGGTGTGGGAGCCACCTTGATCTGCCAGGCCAAGCGCCCACCCCATCCCCTGACTGGCCACTTCTGGAGGGGTGATAGGGCGGGAAGGTGGAGAACCTGACCGAGCCCTGGCTACTCCCCAGACCTCAGGGTCCTGCAGGGGAAAAAGGCGGAGCGTCCCCACGTTCCTTTCTGGCATCGTGCTTGGCTGGTGTGGCACATCACCAGCCTAGTGAAAACCTTGTAGCTTTTATTTTTCTTTTTTTCTTTAGAAAGGAAAGGCAGGAAGGCTGTGGGTGGTGCCAGGCTCAGCTCCAACATAAACCATCCCTCATCTCCTACTCTGGCGTCTCCAGAGGAAACAGGATAGTAACAGCACCTGGCTCTGAAAGACTGGTGTGATGGCACAACTGGTTAATCCTTCACCTGCAAGCCCCTGCATCCCATATGGGTGGTGGTTCATTTCCCAGCTGCTCCACTCTCCATCCAGCTCCTAGTGACCTGGGAAAGCAGTACAGAATGGCCTAAAGCCTTCAGACCCTGTATCCACATGAGAGACCTCACAGAGGCTCCTGGCTCCTAGCTTTGGGATTAGCTCAGCTCCAGCTGTTGCAGTCATTTGTGGAGAGAATCAGCTGATAGAAGATCTTTATCTCTCCTCTCTGTAAATCTGCTTTTCTAATAAAAATAAAGAAGTTTTTTTTTTAATTAGTAACTTGGGCCCGGCACGGTAGCCTAGCAGTGGAAGTCCTCACCTTGCACACCCAGTCCTCACCTTGCACACCTTGCACACCCAATCCCAGGCCTGGGAAAGCAGTTGAAGGTGGCCAAAGCCTTAGGGCCCTGCACCCATGTGGGAGACTCAGAAGAAGCTCCTGGCTCCTAGCTTCGGATTGGCTCAGCTTTGACCGTCATGGCCACTTGGGGAGTGAATCAATGGATGCAAGATCTTCCTTTCTGTCTCTCTTCCTCTCTTTATATCTGCCTTTCCAATAAAAATAAATAAGTCTTAAAAAAAAAACAAAACCTAGCACCTGCCTCTTGGACAGGTAGTTGGCTCAGGTCTTTGCAGCAGTGCCCCATGCCTCCTGGGCACCAAATCGCCCTGCCTTGACGTGCCTCAGCCGTCCCTGTGCTTTCCTCCATCTCGCCACCTCCTCCAGTGTCGGTCCCATCTTCCTCTTCCCTCTCTCTTCTCCGCTCTGCCCTTCTCTACACGTCTGTGGCGGCAGGAGAGAATCCACACTGGTGAACTTGGTGCCATTGACCTTCCCTCATCCTCTCCCCAGCTCGTGCCATCCTAGGCCTGGCCCTACCATGAGCCCCTGGGCATCTCCAGCTCGGGCCACCCTGGCCAAGGTGGTGCAGTCCCGTTGGTTTGGGGGCCTCCCGGGACAGCGTGGACTCATGTTTCCCAGGCTCTGGGAACCCAGTGACCTTTCTGTTCTCTTATTCCTCGTTATCTCCGGGGCCCGTGCCAGGGCTGGGCAGCCTCCTGGTTTGCCAAGGGCCATTGGGTATTTATAACATCAGTCCTTGGCCATGCTCAATGATCAACTGAAACATCCCCCGGCCATGAATTTATTGAATTTTGAGTCCCGTCAGCAGCTGCCTTGGCAGGGGCAGACCAAGTGACTGCCCGCCCGTCCCAAGCAGTGCCACCTGTGACCTTTGTGGTCTGTGCTGTGGGGCGTGGGCTTTCAGGCCACGGGTCTGCTCCTCGGATAGTGGGTTTGACCTTATGGCTCAGAAAGGGCAGCGTGACCTCGGGTGACCTGTGAGGGTTCCAGCCTCTGTTTGCCAGTAGGATCAGGGACCTTGTGGCCTGCTGTGGAGATTCAGAGAGTTGTTGTTTTTTTTTTTTTTTTTAAGATTTATTTAAAAGAAGTTTATTTAAAAGCAGAATGGCAGGAGAGTCAGAGACCTTGCATCTGCTGGTTCACTCGCCAGATGGCCACAGCAGTTAGGACTGGTCCAAACCAAAGCTAGGAGCTGGAACTCCATCCAGGTTTCCCATGCAGGTGGCAGGGGCCCAAGTACCTGAGTCTCTTTCCACTACTTTCTCAGGCACATCTGTGGGCAGCTGGATCAGACGGGGAGCAGTTGATCTGGAACTGGCATTCAGATATGGCATGTGGGCATCACAGGCGGTGGCTTAACCCACCACGCCGCATTGCCAGTCTGCTCTTTATAGTTTTGTGCCCGAAACCAAATTTCCAAATGTGAAATTTTCCCACTTGTGGTGTCAGGCTGGTGCTCAGAAAAGTCTGAATTGGGGAGCATTTTAGCTGTGGGGTTTTCAGAGGGGGAGATGTTCCAAGCTGATATTGTCAAGGTAGGGGGCATTTTGAACTTGTGCCATGTCCTGGGCTCTTCTGCCCCAAGCAGGTGTCATTTCCAGATGGCCGGAGGCTGACCAACCATGCCTCTGGGTGCAGCTTTCCCTGGAGCTGAATCACAGCACGCCTCCTGCATCTTACTGGAGGGCCTTGTCGCTCTGACTTGCAGCCCGCTGATGTCTTGCCTGCCCACCCACTGTTTGTGTAGGGGTTCCGCGGTTGCAAAAATCATTGGCCACAATGTCCAGAAGCTGCAGAAGTTTGCCTCCACGGTCAAGATGTGGGTCTTTGAAGAAACCGTGAATGGGAGGAAACTGACAGACATCATAAATCACGACCATGAAAATGTCAAATATCTCCCCGGCCACAAGCTGCCAGAAAACGTGGTAAGACCCTGGGGGTTCCTTCCACGGGTGATTTTGCAGCTGAGCAGCCCTGAGGCCTGGCAATTCTTTCCCAAGTCCCGGCCCCCCCCCGCCCTTGTTGCCTTGTGGGGTGCCACTTTTTTTCTCCCCTGACTTTAACCATGGGCCTTCTGTCCGTTACCATGGCAAAGGGCCCAAGGTGTGGTGGGTTAAGCAGCAGAAATGAATTTTTGTTCCATTCTGGAGACTTCCAAGGTTGGATTGCCTCTGAACCTATGCCCTGTCACCCCAAGAGCAACACTATAGAATGGTTACTTTCCCTTAAGAATTATTTGTTTTTATTGGAAAGGCAAGTTTACAGAGGGAGTTTGGGGGGAAATCCCAGTCTCTACGAAATTGTAACACAAAGCAAAAATTCACCAAAAACAAAAAGATCTCTTTGTCTCTCCTCCTCTCTGTAAATCTATGTTTTAAATAAATAAGTAAAAATCAGTTCCTATTTGCAAAGCCACATCTTAATGGTTTTCAGAGAAGGTAAAAAGCAGGAAATTGAGTAGCGGGAGCTGGAGTCAGTGCCGCCACAGGACGGGCATGCTGCCACGGCGACTCACTGTGCCACGGCGCCTGCCGCCAGCACCTGCTCGGGGGAGGAAGTGTAGGGGGCACTTGGGCTAGGCCGTGACGGACGACCGGCAGTCTCCCACCTCGACTGCAGGGGTGACGGGGAGAGGCCATCTCCGCCAGGGAGGCCCGAGGCATGGTGTGCCGTACCTTGCAGGTCGCCGTCTCCAACCTCGGCGAGGCCGTGCAGGACGCGGACCTGCTGGTGTTCGTCATCCCGCACCAGTTCATCCACAGAATCTGCGACGAGATCACCGGCCGGGTGCCCAAGCAGGCGCTGGGCATCACGCTCATCAAGGTGAGTTGGGTGCCGGCTCCATGCTGGAACCCTGGGGACTCCACCCGGGCCCATGGCCATCTGCTCCCGGTGAGGACCTGAGGAAGAAGTCGCGGCTGCATTCAGGTAATAAAACCCTGCATGGCACAAGTGGCCCGGAACTCAACCAAGCTGAAGCCAGGAGCCAGGAGCTTCTTCCGGGTCTCCCACGCGGGTACAGGATTCCAAAGCCCAGGGCCGTCCTTGACTGCTTTTCCAGGCCACAAGCAGGGAGCTGGATGGGAAGTGGAGTTGGCGGGATTAGAACCGGTGCCCATATGGGATCCTGGCTTGTACAAAGCGAGGACTTTAGCCGCTAGGGCACTGTACTAGGCCTTAAAGCAGGGATTTTCAAGCACAAGTCCTCGAGCCACCCCCAGGGTCCACGCACGCGCTCACTCCTGGGGACCCCACCTTCACCAGTGGGTGTGGGCTGCAGACATGACGACAAGGATGAGCCTGATGTCATCAGAGGACACGGCTGTCCTGAGCGCTCGTCGTGCTGCAGTGGTGCCAGGCGGTGCCCGGGCACTGTGTGTCCCGTCCTGCTGCGGCAGCATCCGGCGGTCCCCGGGCACTGTGTGTACATGCCACGTCCTGCAGTTGCATCCAGCGGTGCCCGGGCACCGTGTGTCCTGTCCTGCGGTGGCGCCAGGCGGTGCCCGGGCACCGTGTGTGCATGCCACGCCTCGGAAGTGATGATCACAATTACATCTGGTGCAGTGCCTGTTCCTGGCTGAGATAATGAAACAGCGCCTGCACGTGTCACAGACTGATATTTTTCACATCTGATAACTGAAGTTTAGTATCATTGACTTCCTAGTCAATCTTTTTTTTTTAAAGATTTAGCTTTTTTGTTTGTTTGAAGACAAAGTTATAGGGAGAAAGACGGAAAGGATCTTCCGTCCGTGGTTCACTCCCCGATAGACTGCAATGGCCAGAGCTGGGCTGGGCTGAAGCCAGCAGCCAGGAGCTGCTTCTGGGTCTCCTGTGTGGGTGAAGGAGCCCAAGCACTTGGACCCTTTTTCACTGCTTTCCCGGCTGCCTTAGCAGGGAGCTGGCAGGAGACTGGAGTAGCCAGGACATGAACCAGTGCCCATAATGGGCACCAGTCAGTGCCCTGCACCATGACCCTAGCCCAAGCATTCTTTGTTATGGATTTGTTTCACATGTATGAAGCTCTCAGAATGAATATAAATGTCACCAAGTGACCAAGTGAAAAAAAACGGTGTGTGTGTCATCCAAGACAGAGTTGGCTCAGTTGTATGGGGTGAGTGCATAGTAGCATGTGGCATGGAACGGTGGCGGGGCAGACACTCACCTGGCTACCTGGGGGCAAAAGTGTCACACGAAATGTCCCAACAGACAGGACTGGTGCGTGCCCATCTGTAATGTTCACCAGTAACAGGCACCAGAACATAGCTTACAGCTGTGCTGGTGTGGGTCTGACATGGTAGCCTAGCAGTTAAAGTCCTTGTCTTGCATGCACCAGTATTCCATATGGGTGCCATTTCTTTTCTTTCTTTTTTTTTAAGATTTAATTTTTTTTATCAGAAAGTCAGATATACAGAGAGGAGGAGAGACAGACAGGAAGATCTTCCGTCCAAGGATTCATTCCCCAAGTGACCGCAATGGCTGGTGCTGCGCCGATCCAAAGCCAGGAGCTAGGAACTTCCTCCAGGTCTCTGTTCCGTGTGACACAGTGATCCGTGTGCAATGTCGGAATGAAGCGTCACTGGTGCCATTGGCTGTCTGGATCCAGACCCTTGTACAGAAGCTGTGACAGGCCGTGTCCACTCTCATGTCTCCCATCCCTGCAGGGCATCGACGAGGGCCCCGAGGGGCTGAAGCTCATTTCCGACATCATCCGCGAGAAGATGGGCATTGATATCAGTGTGCTGATGGGCGCCAACATCGCCAGCGAGGTGGCTGCCGAGAAGTTCTGCGAGACCACCATCGGTGAGCATGTGTGTGTGTGTGTGTGTGTGTGTGTGTGTGCGCGTATGTGCCCGCCTCTGCTGCCGTTCTCCATGGCAGGCTCATCCCTGCCTCTCTGGACCACCCCAGAATGGGCCTTCGTGGAGTGGGGTTTCCACGTGGCCATCCCATGACGCTGCAGCATGTCAGCAGCCCCCAGCATGAACGGAAGGCCACAGAGCCTGTCTGACCACTGTGGACCAGAAATGAATGGCCCGTGATCAACCCAAAGATGCAGGGATGTCTGCGCCCGGAAGCAGGTGACTGTACCCCGGGGTGACGGCTCTCCCTCACTCACAAATGACCGTAGCTGTACCCTCAGGATGGCAGCAAGGAGCTGGTGAGAACAGTGGCCATCTTTAGGTGAATGAGGAAAGCTTGGAGAGTAAGTTACAGCCTGCTCCCCCAGCCCCAAGGCCAGGCATCCGCGGAGAAGCCACGCCCTGTGTGAGTCTCCTGTAGGCTGGAATAGTCAGCTCTCTCTACTCCTGTACAGTGGACCCATTCTCCCCCTGGGGCTGTGAAAGTTTCATTTTTGCCAAGAAGGGCCTAGACAATTCTGAATGCCCACATTCCATAGTAAAGAATGCGTTGATGTAGCAGTAAGCTTAGGGAATTAGTGGATGTTCTGTGAAACTTGCGTTCATTGTTGTTAACCAAACTGCTGGGCCTGAAAATGTGGATAATCAAAAGAAAACCTTTCTATTTTTATTATCTTCCTGTTTATCCTACTTTTTAAGATGCATTTATTTTATTTTCAAAAATCAGAGCTACAGAGAAGGGTGGATAGTGGGCTGGAGTCAGAGACATCCTGCAGCCATTGAGGTATTCCCCAGATGGCTGGGTCAGGTCAAAGCCAGGCACATCATCTGCGTCTCCCACATAGGAGGCAGGGACACACACATATCAACTACACCCTGCTGCTTTCCAGGACAAGGAACCAGTACCCAGCGGGATGCTGGTGTCACAGGCAGTGGCAGTGCCCACCCTGTCACGATGTTGGTCCCTTATTCTTCCTATTTCAGTAAGCTATTATATGTGCCAACATTCATATGCTGTTTCCATAATTACTTACTGTGTAACAACCTTCCAAGCTGTACGTACTGTGTGCTGTGTCTGCGTAGTATTGCATCAGCAGGTCCACATGTCGGAACAGTTCATGCTGCTTTTGAGCAGTGTTTCTGCAGGGCCAGAAGTAGCAAGTGATATTAAGAAGTTCTGAGAAGGGGTCAGTGTTAACAGCCTTGCAGCATCTACTTGGGGCACTGGTTCCTGTCTGCCTGCCTTGTGTATCACCCCACTTCCCCGCTTGTGGCCTGCGAAAGCCATGAAGGATGGCCCCAGTGCTCGGGACCTGCACCCACGTGGGACACCCGGAAGCATCTCCTAACTCCTAAGCCAGCTTAGGTTGTTGTGACCTTCTGCGGGGGCGGACAGGGATGAAGTACCTGTTCTCTCGGTAACTCTGACTTTCCAATAAATAAACATGTTTGAGATAGTTTTACTTGAAAGACAGAGATCTTCCACCTGCTTTTTCCGGATGTACTACATCAGTTGAAGTGCCCATGTACTGGGAACATCTTCCGTTGCTCCCCGGCTCATCAGTAGGGAGCTGGATGGGAAGCAGGGCTGCCAGGATTAGAACCAGTGCCATATAGGATCCCAGTGTGTGCAAGGAAGGGGAGGACTTGAGCCACTGATCCATTGTGCTGGGTCCCTCTGTAACTCTTTGAGACAAATGAAATAAATCTTTTAAAAAAACAAACAAAAAACATAGAAAGGAAATAGCAGACAACTCCAAAGAAATACTCCAAACCGGTTGGCTCAACCCTACCAACCTGCCAGGCCTGTTGGACGTCAGAAGACTAAGGGAGTGCCCCCACCCAGGGGATTGGGTGCAAGAGGGTCCTGGGGTGGGCTCTGGGTGGTGAGAAGAAAAGCTGTGCGAGAAGCAGGTGGGGTGACTGGAGGGGTCCTTACCGAAGGGATTGGAGAACAGTGCTTGCTGAAGTCTTGCAAAGAATCCATGGTTTTTCCAAATGCAGCAGCGGCGATCTACAGCTCCCCCTTGTGGTGAGAGCGTGTCCTTCACCCTGGGGCTTCACTCCAGTGTCTCACCCCTTGAAAACATCTGACAAACAAATTAGAGAAGTGGAGGAGCAACCTTATTGAATAGGTTGGTTATCTTGGGAAGGCAGATGTACAGAGAGGAGAGACAGATCTTCCATCCACTGATTCACTTCCCAAATGGCTGCAACAGCCGGAGCTGAGTCAATCTGAAGCCAGGAACCAGGAGCTCTTCTGGGTCTCCCACATGGGTGCAAGGTCCCCAGGCTTTTGGGCCGTCCTCTGCTGCTTTCCCAGGCCACAGGCAGGAAGCTGGCTGGGAAGTAGAACAGCCGGGACATAAACTAGCACCTATCGGGGATGCTGACACTTGCACGTGGAAGATTCGTCGGTTGAGCCACTGTACTGGCCCCAAATAGGTCAGCTGTCTTTAAAAGCTAGGAAGAGAGGGGGAATTTTCCTGTCTCTATCAGAATGAGTTTTAGGAGTCTCCCATGTGGCTGTTGGACATTACTGGTTCTAGAGAGGCGGCCCGAGTCCCTGCTATGTGGTGGCCACAAGCAGGGAGATGGATGGGAAGTGGAGTAGCTGGGACATGAACTGGCACCCATATGGAATTCCAGTGCATGCAAGGGAAAGATTTAACCACTAGGATATTGCGCCAGGCCCAAGCCAATCGTTTCTCACACTGGGAGCTGGGCACATCGGCATCTGACCTTGTTCTGATTTTGATATTTGAAACATTCCACAGAAAACAAGCTGAGACTTGCCCACCCCCTGCTCAGACGCACAGCTCCTGTCTCTCACCGCACGCCTGTTGTCTCACGGAGTGGAGTTCTGCTTTCCAACATGCGAATGTGTGTCTGAGCAAACCACCCTCTTCCTTCCCTTTTTTTTTTTTTTTTTTTTGCTTTGTTTTGTCTTTAGGATTTGTTTATTTGAAAGGTAGAGTCACAGAGAGGGGGAGGGAGACACGGAGAGAGATCCACTTGGCCAGATTCCAGTCCCCAAACAAGCCCCGTCTTCTAAAATAGGGAGAAAATGGGGTGAAACTACAAATTCCTTACTTTTCCAGTCTTGAGAGGAAAAAAAAAAAACTATACTCTCCTTGGATAAAATGCGTGTCCTGTTCTCTGGTCCAAGTGCAAGGTCATTTTCTCTCCTGTGTCTGCCACTGTGCATTCGCTGCCTTTCCCATTGGTGTGAACTTTCCAGAAGAGATGACCATTAAAACCCTTGTCTCTGACCTTCCTGCAGGCAGCAAAGTCATGGAGAACGGTCTCCTCTTCAAAGAACTCCTACAGACCCCGAATTTTCGAATCACCGTGGTAGATGATGCAGACACTGTGGAACTTTGCGGCGCTCTGAAGGTCAGCCCTGTGGTCTCTGCTCGCCCGGAGGGTGGTCATTCCTGCCAGGCCAGCGCCAGCACTGGGAGGCTGCCAGCACTGGGGGTTGATTCGGCTGCCCCAGTGCCCGTGTTAGAGGGTTGATTGGGCCAGGCCAGTGCCAGCGCCGGCATTGGGGGTTAATCCTGCTGGGCCAGCGCCAACGTTGATGAACCCAACCCTGCAGAAGGAGATCTGTGTTCAGAGAAGAATAGTGAATCGCAAGCTTTGTTGGTCACTTCCTGTCTGGCTGCAGCTTTTCCCTGGTCCCTTGCTTTGGCTTGTCCTCCGGGACAGCACTCGGCTTTGGATTTTCCTAGAGGTTTACCTGGGGCCCGTGACTCCGCGCATTCATGTCGACTGGAGCAGGGAGCCAGGAACTTGTTCCCCTTCTCATGCTTATGCTACTGGCTTGGCAGTTTGCTTGCTTGTTCTTTTTAAAGGAAGAGGTTGTGGACCTGCTGACAGAGCTTTTTCTAGAAATAGTTTTATCTTTGCACTTGGGAGCAACAAGATCGGATTAAGGCTGTTGGCTGGGGGCTTGGGACCCTCAGAGACGCACCTTTTACCACGAGGCTGTAGAGGGCGTGGGCTTTTGTCTGTGGCTCTTGAATGGAGCAGGCAGCTGTTACACGGAGGTCAGTCACAGGTAGGAGAATGGTCATAGAGTGGGCCTCAATGTGGGCACAAGACAGCCTTATCTGTCTGTGTTAGGCTACCATCATCGGGTTCATTTCTTGTTTTTAAAGATTTTGTTTATTTTTATTGGAAAGGCACATTTACAAAGAGAAGAAGAAACACAAAGATCTTCCACCTGCTGGTTCACTCTGCAAGTGGCCGATCTGAAGCCAGGGGCCAGGAACCTCTTCCCGGTCTCCCACACTGGTGAAGGGTCCCAAGGCTTTGGTCCATCCTCTACTGCTTTCCCAGGGCACAAACAGGGAGCTGGATGGGAAGTGGAGCAGTCGGGATTAGAACTGGCACCCCTATAGGATCTCGGGGGTTTCAAGGTGAGGATTTAGCCACTGAGCCCTTGCGCCAGACTCATTTGAAAGGCCAAGAGACAGAGAACTCTGCTAATTGAAACCCTAAATGCTTACAAGAAGAAGGAGGCAGGAGGGGGCCAGGCTGAAGCCCAGAGTCAGTGTGTGATAGAGACCTGGTTATCTGAGCCCTTCCTTGCTGCCTCCTAGGGTGCCCATCAGCAGGAAGCTAGATGCTGGAGCAGAGTTGGGATTCAAAGCGAGGCTCTCCAGGAGGGTTGCTGGCAGCCCAGGTTTGCCTGTGTGGTTTGTCTCGTCCACTGGGGAGCCATCTAGTAGTTTACTCCTCACACGACCCTAGTGGCCAGGGCTGCACCAGGCCAAAGCCAGGAGCCAGAAACTCCAAGTAAGCCTCCCATGAAGGTGGCAGGAGCCCAAAACACAGTGCAGCAGGCGGAACAGGGCAAGACCTCCACGGCCAAGCTCCAGCCTTGGGGGGTGAAGACCCAGCACAGTATTCTAGTGGCTAAAGTCCTCGCCTTGCATGCACCAGGATCCCATATGGGCGCCGATTCTAATCCCGGTGGACTGACTTACTTCCCATCCAGCTCCCTGCCTGTGGCCTGGGAGAGCAGTCGAGGACGGCCCAAAACCTTGGGACCCTGCACCCATGTGGGAGACCCGGAAGAGGCTCCTGGCTGTTGGATCAGCACAGCTCCAGCCATTGCGGCTGCTCAGGGAGTGAATCATCAGATGGAAGATCTGTCCTCTGCCTCCCCTCCTCTCTGTGTATGACTTTACAATAAAAATCAATCTTAAAGAGCTGTCAGTGCGAACAGCTGCTTCAAATCACTTCTGAGTCATCCTTTGCAGCCGAAAGAAGTTGAGCTCCTTTGAGACAAGATGGGTGGCCAACGTTTACTCGGCATTCTGAATCCTTCTTGTGAGTTGTATCACTTTCATTGGAGCCACAGTTTGAGACCACACGCTGAAGTTAAGATTCTATATGTGTATATGTGATCATGATGGACAGCAAGCATCTAGAAAGTTGGAGTCGGGTCTGGTGCTGTGGCGTAACAGGCTAAGCCTCTGCCTGTGATGCTGGCATCCCATAGAGCCACCAGTTCAAATCTCAGATGCTCCTCTTTCAGTCTAGCCTCCTGCTTATGTGTCTGGGAAAGCAACGGAGGATGACCCAAGTACCTGAGACCCTGTACCCATGTAGGAGACCCGGAAGAAGCTCCTGGCTCCTGGCTTCTGATTGACTCAGCTCCACTCCAGTGACTGTGGCCATTTAGAGGACCCTGGAGAGCCTGAGCTCATGGGAGCCCCTTGATGGGTGGGGCAGATCGCCATTAGCCGTGATCTCCAAGGGCCCTGAAAACAGAGAAGCAGGCCCGGTGGTGGCAGAGCCACAGTCCAGACCAGGAGAGCCCCACGCAGGGACAGTCGCTGATTGGAGCCAGCAGATGGCGGCCACAGGCAGGAAATCACCTTCTACTGTTTCAGATCCCGTGTTCCTTGGCCGCTGTGTTCCCTGGGCTTTCCTGGCTTGCATGTGACCCTGGGGCCAAAGGGAGACAAGTGTCAGACGTGCAGCACAGGGACCAGTGAGTGGCTGGCTGCGTGCTGCCCACTGAGCACAGGTAGCGATTTTGCTTTTTGCTCTGGCATTCAATGGCAAGGCCTAGGAAAGACACTCCTGTATCCCAGAATAACCTCCCTTAACAAGAGCAGAGGAGGTCTGCTAGGGGGCCAAAAACCCGGCTAGCTCTCTCCTGCTTGCCCTGCGACAGAAAGACTGGTTAATGAGCGAGAGAGCAAGCCATGTTGATGTATTTGATATTTCTGGGTGACAGGCACGCCTTCAGGTTAGTGACCCAGGGAGCTGAGGTTACCACATGGGGGATGTGTGGACAGCTATGTGGGGGTGCGATGGATCCCACTGCTGTAGCACACCTCCCCAAATGGCTGCTGCAAAGCCAGGAACAACTTCTGGGTCTTCCGCTTGGATGGCAGGGGTCCACACACTTGGAACTCCCCTTGGGTGCTCACATGAGATACTCCAACCTCTTTAGTTCACTCTCCTGGTGCCCAGGGCTGACGCTAGGAGCCAGGGACTCAGCCCAGGTCGTCACTGCTGCCTCCCAGAGTCTGCATTGGCAGGATGCTGGAGTAGGGTGCCGGAACTGGGAGTGGAAGCCGGGCCAGGACAGGTGTCTGCACCACTGGCTGTTGAGCGGAGCATCCGGGGCTGGAGCCTGTACCCCACCCCCCGCCTTCTCCCCACTTCTCTTCCCGCACCCCCAACTGCAACAGGTGCTGAACGCCACCTCCCATCTCTGTCCTCTCCCCCACAGAACATTGTGGCCGTGGGAGCCGGCTTCTGCGACGGCCTGCGCTGCGGCGACAACACCAAAGCCGCCGTCATCCGCCTGGGCCTCATGGAGATGATTGCCTTCGCCAGGCTCTTCTGCAGGGGCCCGGTGGCCACTGCCACCTTCCTGGAGAGCTGCGGGGTGGCCGACCTCATCACCACCTGCTATGGAGGGAGGAACCGCAGGGTGGCCGAGGCCTTCGCCAGGACTGGGAAGGTAGTCTCCGGCATATTCACTGGCTTATCCTTCCTCCCCATTCCATAGATGCCACCAGCATCCCTTTAGCGCTGGCTGCTGCCACCCAGCTGTCAGCAGAGGCATTGCTGCCCCGTTTTCCCATTCGCCCCTTGAGACAAGTGCTCCTCTGGCCAGGACCATGAGTGAGGCTTGGCTGTTTTTCCTCCTTTGTGTTTAAGACCCTGGAGGAATTGGAGAAGGAGATGCTGAATGGGCAGAAGCTCCAGGGACCTCAGACGTCTGCTGAAGTGTACCGCATCCTCCAGCAGAAGGGACTCACCGACAGGTAGGTCTGCTCACATGCTCCCAGGTCATGGGGCTGCCAGGCCCCGGCGCAAGGGTTTGACGAATGGACCTGTCTGTGCTGGATTGGCTCCGTCCTTCAGGAGGGGTGGGTGTCAGCCGGCCTCGGGATATGAGCGTCTATACCCAGGCCCACCCAGCCTGAGAGGCCTGCCACACTGGGCAGAGCCTCAGAACCCCGTTTGCCTCAGTGAGGGATGGAAGGTGTAGGGTGAGGCCTCCGTGCCACAAGTTTGACATTTTTCAAAAGGTTTTACAAAAAGATGATGGTTGTGTTCATAGAAGGCCTGGCGTCTCAGCAGAACGGGGACAGGGAGGCCACTAGCCTGGACCTGTTTTCAAGTTCAACGTGCAGTCCCTAGCCACCCGCGGGGGTGGCCGCCTCACCCATCCCTGCGCCTCTCCTGCTCGGCCACATGTTAGGTGGGCTGCTGCAGTCAGCTGGATTTGCCCCCAACTATGGGAGTGCCCCTGTAGGGCACAACGAAAGCTGTCCAGCTCCCAGCCCTGTATCCTGCCAAGGGCCTGCGCCTTCCACATAATCAGGATACCACCCCACGGCCTGGCAGTCTTACCCAGCACTTGGCAGTACTTGTGGTCCCCTCTGCTCAGTCCTCCTGGGACGAAGGGAAAGTTGGGCTGCCGAGGTCAGGGGAGAGCCAGACGGCTCCTGTTGATGCCGCCAACTGCGGAGGGTGTCTCTGGATGTGTCTTCCTCCTCCTTGTTGTTCTGTCTGCCTGCTTCTCTCCAAGTCCTACCCACATCTTGACCTTGACCTTACCCTGCTCCTGGCACTGCTGCCCTCTCCTAGCCCAGTGCTGGTGAATCAGCCGGAGTAATCCCAGGGGACAGTTGAAAATGAGGCTGCATGGGACAGTCATCTTCCCCCCTGAACTTTTGCTCGGATTTCCTGAAACGCCTTTGGAAACCAGCCAGGTGGAGCCAGCACTCCACCAATGGGCTGCCAGGGGAGGAGGCATCTTTGATCTGGAACGGAAGGAGAAGAGCCCCCCCCTGTCGTGTGGCTCTCCTTTCATCCCCAGCAGCCAACGCTGATGAGGGTGTGAGCGGCCGAGTTACCATAATGACCGAAGCCTCCACTGGGGCATAGTCTCCGTTTAATATAGGAAGTGAATACATGGGGGCCTGGTGATGTTCCAGCAGCTCCCGCGTGCCTCCATCATGGGCCTTTACCAAGATGCCACGGGAGGCAGGGCTGGCTGGATGGGGAGGCTGTGTTCATTCCTCATCCAGGAGGTGTGGACTGCATGCTGGGATCCTGATGAAGCAGCATGGCCAGGCAGATGGCACTGCGCTCCTGGGCCTGTCTCCTTTGCCTCTCCCCATTGGAGACAGAGCTGCCGGGTCTGTACTAAGTGTTCACAAGGGCAAGGCCAAGGCCAAAGCCAGCCTGTCCTCTCTCTGGAAATCCTCGTCTCTGGAATATTCCATTTCCCTGCTCCCATAGCCCCTTCTGTATTGCTCTAGAAACAGCAGTTAGTAAAAGGCCAGTAGGTGCCCATTTTTTAGCTCTTCTCTGCCCCACTGTCCTTGTACAGACGATGAACATGGTAGACCAGATGCTCACCCCACCCCTGCCCCTGTAAAAACAAGGCCTTAGGTTTGGCACCAGCTAAATTTCTGACAGTAATGTGGTGCTGTGCCTGCTTGAGCTGGGCCACACTTCTCTTTGTCCCAACACCTTCTCTGAAGACTTGCACCTGACAAGACACCTGCCTTTATGCACACTGCAGCCTCACAAGCCTTGAAGGAGGCCAAGGTCCGTTCTCAGTGCAGCCTCCCATATCTCCCATTCTCAACACAAACTTCCCTGCCTTGTGCTCCCTGTTTAGACCGGTGCTACAAACAAAACAAAACAAAAAACCACACAGCAAGTGTTAAACACCGTCCTTAACCTGCAGGGGGCACCTGAGCCATGGGAGGTTAGATTCAACTCTCCTGGGCTTAGGCAGTGTCACCAGTGGATGGGTAGTGGGCGGGCTTAGGCAATGTCACCAGTGGGTGGGGAGTGGGTGGGTGGGCTGTGCCTGCACAGAAGCACTTCATTTTATTCTACTCTTCAGATCTGGACAGGGAGTGAACACTATGGTGGGGGAAAAAAGGTAGTAAGGCCTAAAGTGAAAATTGTATCTGGCCCCCTGCCCTGGAAGGTTGCCCTCACCATGTTTCAGACACCTGTCCGAGCAGTCTCCCAGTGTTGGTGCAGGAGGAAGGACTCAGCCACTGCTCTGGGCCTAACCCCTCGCTTTGCTCTGAAGAGTGGTCCACATCCCCACTGGGGGCCTCTGTCCTCCAGGGCTGTGGGACCGGGAAGCCACTCTTGGGCCCATGGAGACTGAAGCCGGGTGGAGCTTCAGCTGCTAGGAGACACATTTTCACTGACTTTTCCCTCCAGCAAAACCACACCTTGGCGAAGTATCAGGCGGATGTGCCACTGGCAGGCATGCGAGTTTGGGTGCCCTGCCCCTTCTGCTGGGCGTGGCTATGGCCACCTCGTCTCTGCATTTTCCTCTTCCCACCATCCACAACTGAGCCCTCTTAGGGCCCTCCTGGATGCCCTCAGCTGTACCCCATTAAAGGCCCTGCCTGCAGACACAGCCCCGTTCTGAGGTGCCAGGTGCTGGGGGCGAGGGCTTCAGCAGAGGGCACAGGGTGTGCACTGCAGCTCTTCACAGAGCTGCCAGCTCCGGGAGGCTGACGGCTGGATCACAGCCTATGTGTCCCCACCACTCGTCGTCAGCCCTCGCCATTCATTACCAGGACGGTGGATGCACTGGCTTATGTCAGATGCGTCTCCTCTGAAATGCCACCTTTTCTTCTGCTTTTATTCTTTTTATGAAAGCTCCCCAGACTGGTCTCTGGGGCTTCATGCACTTTTGAATAACAGAAAATACCATTCAGATGGTGTTTGGGTCAGAAGCTGTGCCTCAGTCTCCCCATCTCTAGAATGGTGGTGATATCATTTCTCACCTTGTGTGCTCAGCCCTGGGTTATGCTTGAGTAAACCAAAGTGGGGGGATCATGTGGGATTTTCCCAGAGTGAGTTAGTCTGACCTGACTCCAAAAACAAAAACAAAAACAAAACAAAAAATCACATAGCATTCCACTCCTTAAATCCTCAATGTAAAAAAAAAAAAAAAAAGAAAGAAAACAGAAAAAACCCACCCAATGATAGACTCTCACAGAGATGTGATCTGTCAGCATTGTTTGCTCTTCCTGAGTTAAACTGTCACTGCGGGATTGTCGCCAGCTCATCTGCAGAATGGACTAGAACACGCTATTGATTCTGTCAGGCTCGCTTTGGGCTGTGCGTTTGTGTTTGGAGGCCTGCCTGAAATAAATTTTTCCTAAGCAATTGCCATCACTCAAAACAAGCAAACTTGCTGAGCCGGCTGCTCCCCGCGCACCCGTGCACCCCCGTGGCACTCCCCGCATGCCCGTGCAACACTGTACTGCTCCCCACGTGCCTGTGCACCGCTGTTACTGCCTCCCGCGCCCATGCACCCCCGTGGCACTCCCCGCGCGCCTGTGCACCGCTGTAGCGCTGTAGCACTCCCCTGCGCGCCCATGTACCGCTGTTACTGCCTCCCGCGCCCGAGCACCCCCATGGGACTCCCCGCGTACCCGTGCACTGCAGCAACACATTCTGCCCAACCCCCAGCTTTGGACCCTCTGCTAGACCTGGCCCTTACACAGATCCTTGTTCACATCTCAGAAGAAAAAAGGCACATTTGCACCGAGCAGCCACGCGAGGTCAGAGCCTTGCTCGCCACGGTGAGCCTCCTAGACGGGTGCTGAGGGTCAATCACTCGTGGCGTGGTAGCACGGGCGGCCATGTCGCTGTCCTGCGACAGGTCTTTGTGGAAAAGGGAGAATGCTGCTCTGCTTTGCGATGTTTAGATGCAATCGGAACTCGGGCCCTTTCTGAGCCACGGCTTCTTGGGAAATGCACCCCGTTCACCCTGGAGGGGTGACCCTGGGCCTCGGGGGTCAGTGGCACTCTCCAGATCCGGTCCAGTGTGGAGATTCAGTGTAGCCAACGGTAAAGGGGTGTGGGAAGCTGGACCGGGTTGGCCTCACCCTGCCTCTTTCTGTTTTTATTTCCCCTGACCAGGTTCCCGTTGTTCACTGCAGTCTATCAGATCTGCTATGAAGGCAGACCGGTCCAGGAGATGCTGTCCTGTCTTCAGAGCCATCCAGAACATATCTAAAGCGAGTGGCGCCGCAGGGCCAGGCAAGCTCTGCCTTTCTCATCGGCGCGGTGGGTTCCTGGGGCACCCAGGACTTGCTAGCAGGAAGCTTGTCTGACTGTCACCCCACTGTGGATGCGTATGAATTCTGACAGGTTCATTTTTTAATTGTGACACATGCATTTTGCTGGCTGAGATAGGCTGGGGGACCACTCAACACCTGCGTGGAGGTGGGTGGGTAGGTGGGCACATTTCCCAATCTGAGGCTGTTCCTCTGAAGCAAATGAAATGTCCTTTTAAAAAATGACTTGGGACTTTCCCCCCACCGTGGCAGCCTAGGAGATTGGGACTATCTCAGCTGGGTTTCATTTTGTTTTTTAGATACCGTTTGTATGTATTTTCATGATGTGTTGAATCAGCATCAAACTGAGAGAGTGGTGAAGTGTATTCAGGAAATCAACCTATCTAACTTGTGATTACTCTGCAAGCCAGCAGAATTAACTCCGTTGATTGGGGATTGATTAATCTTTTTTTACACATTGAGCCGTTTTTAATCAGAGCCTCCACGTCCCTACTCACTCCTGCCGATGGGGCCCCCTGCGTTGTTGGCCTCTGTCTCTCTCCCTGGCATGCTGGCACCGTGCTTTGTCCAGCTTGGCAGTGGTGAAAAGACAAGAATATCCACTGCGATTTGCCTGCTGGGCCCCAGTTCCTGCCACTCACATGGGACACGTGCGTGATGCTCGGCTTCACTGCTGTCGTGTTTGCCAACGTTTCTCTTAGGCCTGGCAGGTCTCCCAAGCAGGGACTGCTGGTACCCTTCCTGTGAAGGTGTCTGGTGGCCTGGTGGCCTGGTGGCCTGGAAAATGATGGGCAGGGGCCCTCTGGGGAGCCACGGGCTGACCATTCTCCAGCTAAGTGGAACCACACACAAATTTTCCGGAACACCAGCTCCCCATCCCCACCCAAGAGAGTGTACCCTGCATCTGAGGGTTGCATGGGTCCTTGTCCTGGACAGGTCCCCTCCCACGCGTGACCTGCAGGTCCAGCAGTATCTGCCTCCTGTGGGTACTCAGGTTCCCAGATTCCACCTAGCCCCGTGAAGCAGTGCGGTATCTGAGCCCCCCACCATTGCATACGCATCCTCCAGATGTGTCTGCCACTCACCACTTCAAGTAATCGCCCAAAACTCCTGTCCCTTGGGGAGTGCGCAGGGCATCCCATGGTTGTCCCAGTTGCGCCCTGGAAAAGGACAGGAGACTGTGGGAGAAGCGGCATGTCCACCCCCTGTCTGAAGTGCAAGGGGCATGTGAGTTCATTGGAGAAACCAATGAAACTTGCTTAACCCAGCAAGTTGTATATGCGTCCAAGGCGGAGCTGTGTGGGTGATGGGTTTCCAGGGGGGCCCATTCACAGCCCAGAGGAGCCTGGTTAGGATGGGTCACTGCCTGAGAGGAGTCCTTGTGACCAACTGCCCGAGGGTCCCGTGGGCCTGGGACAACTCTGCCCTGAAGGCTCAGCTCAGCCTTGTCTGGCATAACTTTTGGGTGGCACCGTGGCCCTCACCAGGCAGGTGTCCACCTCGCTGAAACGCACAACCTGTGGAATAAGTGCTTTTATTTCCAGATGTTGAATAGCACTGTCCATGTCTTTTTAAGCTAGATCCGGTTTCCGAATAGCATTGCCTTCCCTGGCGTGTGAGACTTGCAGGAGGGAATGGCTGGCTGTCACTCGGGTGTGGCTTCTCACATCCTGACTTGGTAACGACTGCAGCCTGCTCCTCCCCTACAACCTGGTTGGGAACTGGCTCTCTCCTCCCCTCCCCCTTCTGTACCTAAAACAATTAGAGATTTCTGTAGGGACTTTTAAATACTATAAATAAAACATCTGGGGCATTCTACAGCGCTGGTCCACAGGCGTTGATGGAAGCACACAGAATGCTCCAAGAACCAGCAGTTTGGGTACCACGGCAAACTCTGGAATCTCGCTTCTCTCACCAGGAATCCTCTTTTTAAAGTCTGTACATTGTCAGACAGTGAACTCTTTCCCAATGCTAAAGGGTTGCAAGCCAGGTGTGGTGTCAGATGGAGAACACGGCATGAGGGGAGGGACTGGGGCTTCATGGATTTTGCACGTTTCCCCTGCCCCCAGCATCCTCCTCCTCCAGTGAGTTTTATTTGGTTGATTTGCTTTTGTTACCCTCAACTCTGCTTGATTGTGCCTCCTGGACACATTTAAAATGCAGCTGCACATTATAGGAAAAGGTGAAACTTTATATGAGTTTATGCTCCGTTAGCTGTGGCTACGATTACCACGAGTTATCTATTTTTGTAATGCCCCACGGTCTGTTGTTTCCTTCCATTGCCATTCCCTACTAATCATGTGGAGGGAGGGAGAGGCCTCGGTCAGGACCTTCGTCTGGACTGCTTCAGCCAACCTGTGAATGTAAGCACTCCACCACTGCCTTGTGAATCCGCCCCACTCTGCTGCTACGGAGCCCAGGCCTGGCCTCACTGCCCCCGGGGAGCAGGGCTGCAGATACCCTGCCTGTATTGCATTCATTCACCCACCAGCTCCGCCGCGGCCTCATGGTGTCATCTGGAGGAGGATGTGTGTGATGGGGGGCGGTGCATGTGCAAAGGCACTGTGGCCGTTCTGCTGATACTGTTTGGGAGCCTTTCAATTACATATGTACTGTATGTGTTGACAGACTGTGGGTGAGTGCACCATTTTGACAGCTTGATTTAATAAACTTGGAAGCCTCGACACCTGCCCGCTGAGTCCCGGTGTGCCTTCTCTTAGCTCAGTGAACAATTTTCCTGAAGTGTGTTGGGCTGTGTGGCGGCACCTACATGAAAGGCAGCTTTGGAAAGGAGAGCTTCAAGTTCAGTTCCAGCCCTCAGACACTTCCAACCCTCAGACACATCTGTGACTATTAGTTCACTGTCGCCCGGACGGAGACCTGGTTCCAGCCAGAAGACAGTACAATAGCCCAGAAGATGGAGCTTAAAACGTGTTCCCTCCTTCCCCAATCCCCTGGACAAGCCATGGACACAGAGCAGCCATGAGGCTGCTGGCCCCCGTGGCAAGGCTCGGATTGGGATGCTGGCGATGGAGCCGTGCTTATGGTGGAGAGGAAGACGGCTGCCAAACATACGTAATCCTGGGTCCAGCCTCACAGCTTTGGGGGATGGATTTAGATGTCCATCAAACTACCCAAAGAAAGTTGCACAGAAATTGGAATGTGGGTCAGTCGTGCCTGCGAGGAACCAGCAAAGCAGCAGATACAAACAACACTGCAGGATCCGATCTTCATCAGTGTTGCCTAAGCCGCCCTCGGGGAAAGCCCCACTGGGCATGTACCAAAACATAAAGTTCATTCTGAGAGTCAACAGTTTTGTGAAACAGATGAATTAAATACCTAGGATTTCAGATAATTTGATCTCAAAACAATATTGTGCGAGACCCTCCCAGGCAGCATATTGGTTAAGCTGTCAGCTCACATCCCAGCTGCTCTTATTCTGATCCAGCTTCCTCCTGTGTGCCCAGGAAGGCAGAATATGGCACGGCGCGTGTAGACCCTGCCACTGAGAGGGGAGTTCTAGAGAGAGCTCCTGGCTGTAGCCTGGACCCCACCATGGCTGTTGGAGCCACTCGGGAGTGAGCAGCTCTTGGAAGCTAGTGCATATTGAGAGGAGAGATGGAGAGGAAGATCTTTTGTCTGTCGATTCACCCCCCAAATGACCATAACTTCCCAAGCTGAGCTGATCTGAAGGCAGGAGCCCAGCGCCTCTTCCTGGTCTCCCACATGGGTGCAGAGTCCCAAGGCTTTGAGCCGTCCCTGACTGCTTTTCCAGGCCACAGGCAGGGAGCTGGATAGGAAGCAGGGTGTCGGGATTAGAACCGGCGCCCATATGGGATCCCAGTGTATGCAAGGAGAAGATCTTAGGCGCCAGACTACCACATGAGGGCTATCACTCTTCCTTTCAAATAAGTGATTTTTAAAGAGGAAATCTGAAAATGAAATTAATCATTTGAATTTTTTAAAAAAATAGTGAGATGGACAGATCAGAACAAGAGATAACTTAGCAAACTGAAAAAGTCTGAGCATATTAACAAACCACCAAGGAAAGGAGTTTATAAGGTAATTAGAGAGAGCGGTAAGATCCAACACACATCTGCTAAGCGTTGCAGAAGAGAGAAAAGGGAGAGACCATTTTGTGCTAACTGAAGGCTGAAATTGGCCAGACTTCATTGTAAGCGTTCAGTTTTACATTATTTTCTGTAAGGTGTATTCATGAAGATTTTATCACCTGGTCTTTAGGACTTTTTATGACTATAAATTAAGAGAATGGTGACCTTTTTATATCTTAAGCATTAGCGTCTGCCTTGCTGTTGAATATTCATGTCATGTAGTCAGTTCAGCATCCATATGAGACAGTAGGACTAACAGCTGCACAGCGAGGCTCGCAGGAGGACTCGAAAGGACGGTCACCAGTGTGGCTGCCGCTTCTCGGGCTGTGTGTCACCAGGTGACGTTCAATGTTCGTACAGATGCGCTATCCAACGCCAGTGACACAGGAGAAGGGCTGCTTCCGAATGCTAGGTTCTGATGTGTCATTCTGCCCTCTGCTGGGCCAGCTGAACCCCGTTTCCAAAATGACCTAGACTGAAGAAGGAGACCCGCTCTCCGCCACGATTCCTACGGAAGACTTGATGGGCCCAGCCCCCTGCCTGTGACGCACGGGGGATGGGTGCAGAACAAACGGCTGTCACACTACAGTCCCGCGGACCCCATGTCATTACTGACCCTCATACACTGCTAGAAGAGTGGAGATAAGATGGTCGGCGGGGACATCTCAGTCTGGGAGGCTCCCACCCCCGGGGCAGTGCGGATGTCGGGGTGCCTGTGCTGTGTCTGCTGGGGCTGACTAACCTAAGCCTAGACTTGCTGTTTGTGTCCCTTCTTGTCCCTTTGTCCTCAGGACTCTGGCCAGTGAGGTCAGGAATCCAGCCCTGGCTTCCATTAAGGCTGCAGACAGCCTCAGCCAGGTGCAGGGGTCCTTCGAAGGTCATCTTTGTCCCTTGTGCCCCCCTGAGCCAGCTGCCATCTCTGTCGCCAGGAAGGGGGCCCTGGGAGTTCACCTACAGCAGTGTCGGCATTTTCCTTTCTGCATTGCACACTGCCAGGTGAAACAGAATCAATGGCCGAGTACTTTCTCATTGCGCTTAATGTGCCCTGGATTTTGTCAAACCTGTGATTTAACTTGTTGCAAATGGAAGTGCTTTAATGTGATGATAGCAGTGTTATTTAGAGGGTTGGTTTTTGTTTTTTTTTAATATGATTGCTCCCCCCCCCCCCATTTATTTGAGAGGCGGAGGGACAGAGTGAAAGAGCTGCCACCTGCTGATTTACACACCAAATGTCTGCCATGGCACCAGGCTGGGAGCTGGAACCCCTGAAGCCAGGAGCTCCTTCTGGTTCTCCCACATGGGTGGCAGGTACCCACATCCTTGAGCCATCCCTGTAGCCTCCCCAGCACTGTGTTAACAGGCAGCTGGAGTCAGGAGCCAGGAATCCAACCCAGACACACATCTTCACTGTGAGGCCAAATGCCCACCTCTCTTTTCTTACAATGATGAGCACAGTCACATGGCCTGGAAGCGAAGCATCTTTCTCACAGAGCCACTGTTCCTAGTCTTAAATGTCCTGTAAATTTCATGCTTCCATTCTCATGCAACATGGATGTTCTGTGTCCATAGCCATGGATTTAACCAACTAACCACAAATCAAGAATGTAGGGGCAGGCACAGTGGCATAGCGGGCTACTCCTCCATGTGTACACCAGCATCCCATATGGGCACTGATTCAAGTCCCAGCTGCTCCGCTTCCGACCCTGCTCCCAATTAATGTTCCTGGGAAGGAAACAAGGATGGCACACATCCTTGCCTTCATGCCAACCATGTGGGAGACGGTAGGGTAGAGCTCCACCAAGCTCCTGGCGTCTGCCTGACCCAGGCCTGGCTGCTTGAGTGAACCAGCGGATGGAATATCTCTGTCCCATTCTCTTTCTCTCTCTGCCTTCCTGTGTTAAATGAACAAATCATTCCTTTTTAAATGTCTGCATCTTATCTTTACTGCAGGTAAGTGTGTACGTGTCTTCTCTAATTCCTGCAGTCCCCATTTTAACCCTTGTGTCTCCACCCCCTAATATAACTAGACCTCCAGACTCAATCCTGTAGGTGGGGTCGCTGGCTCAGATATCTATGTGTTTCCTGTGGTAACAGAAACAGCCAATTCTTTTTGCCTAATTACCTCCATCACTTTGGCTAGGGATTCCTTCCTTTATACGGAACCATCCCAGAGAGGGGCGGCTGTGTGTCTACCAAGGATGTAGAGGTCTCTTCTGCCGGCTCCAGCATCATACATAAAATCTTATTTACAATTGTAGTGTGGGACTGGAGGTGTAACGCAGTGGGTAAAGCCTACAGAATCCTATGTGGTGCCAATTCCTGTTCCGGCTGCTGCACTTCCCATCCAGCTCCCTGCTCATGCACGTTGCAAAACAGTGGACCATAGTCCAAATGCGTGGGCCGCTGCGTCCCATGTTGGAGCCCCAAATGGAGTTCCTGGGTACTGAGTTCCACCTGGTCCTGCCTGATAAATGCAATCATCATAGGAATGAGCCAGTGCATGGAATCTCCAAGTAAATAAATTTTTAAAAAATTTAAAAGCTTTATTTCTTTTTATTGGGAAAGCAGATTTACACAGGGAATGATCTTCTATCTGATGATTCAGTCCCCAAGTGACTGCAATGGCCAGAACTGAGCCAATCCAAAGCCAGGAGCCAGGAGCTTCTTCCGGGTCTCCCACGCGTGTGCAGGGTCCCAAAGCTTTGAGCTGTCCTTAACTGCTATCCCAAGCCACAAGCAGTGAGCTGGATGGGAAGCCAAGCACAAACCAGTGTCCATATGGGATCCTGGCACATGGAAGGAGGAACTTTGCTTTAGGCTACTGCACTAGGCCCCACATTACTGATAGTTGTAACAGCTGGCTGTGTTCAAGGTTATATGTGGTCAGAGAATGGCTCAACAAGAGGGCTATTTGCAAGGAGTGTTGAGATAAGAAACACGAACTCCGTGGATTTATTATGTAGGCAAAACCCCTAGAAACTAGCTCAAGGGCAGCAAGTGGCATCTCTGAGTTCAAGCGCCAACAAGGCAGGACCTTCCTGTCCACTAGGGGTCACTGTCCACGATGTCCTTTCCTGCCTAGGGTGCAGACCCTTTGGGAAACAGGTCTGGCCCTGCCCAAGCAACTGCAGACAGGAACATGCAACAGTAGATCATGTTGTGTGGCCCTTGATTCTAGCTTTAAATATTCATATGGCCCTTCGCAGAAAAAAGCTTTCCCAACCCTGGGTAATGGACTCCTGTTAAAAAATAATAAATAGTGCAGCTGGTGCTATGACATAGTAAGTTAAACCTCTGACTGCAGGGCTGTCATCTTGATTCAAGTCCCAGATTTTCCACTCCTGATCCAGCTCCCTGCTAATGTGTCTACAAAAACAGTGGATTTTCACCCAAGTCCTTGGGCTCTACACCCAAAACAGAGAAACAGAAGAAGCTCTGGGATTCTAGCTTTCAGTCCAGCCCAGCTCTACTCCTTGAAATCATTTGGGGAATGAAGCAGTGGATAGAAGATAGCTTTTGTCTTTCCTCTCTCTGTAACTCTGCCTTTCAAATAAAAAAAAAAAATCTTAA